GTATTCAAATTTATAAATCAGAGAAAATAAACAATTTAAAAATTCTTATTTTTCTCAGATAATCGATGTAATATTTTCAATATATTAGGTGTTGGAATTAATTCGTAGCGTTTTACAAGTGATGGGAAGTACTTTCATTAATGTATTTTTTAATGCTCATGTGAAATAAATAACATTCTTTCATTAAAAAACGCTACGAATTAATTCCAACACCTAATATTTTTATGAATTAGCTGTTAATTTGTACGAAGTACTTACACACTCGTGGCGGATTCTCAGCGGACGCAGCCGCCACCGCGAAAATCGCTAGTACCGCGAATCTGTGCAGCATCTTGATGACGGCACTTCGCGGATTATAATATACGCGGATTACAATTTTCTCCCAAAGAATTAGCGAAATTTAAAAAACGAGGCAGAATCCAAGTAAGGCCGCAAACAGATGGTCGGCGACTTGTCAAGACCGTCCGGAGTAGCAGTCTAAGTACGTCCTTATATAGATGCGTCTTTTTCTTCCTCGTACTTCAGCTCGCAAAAGAGAAGTAGGGGGAAGGAGTTTCGCTCGTTTTCCTCCTCTCTTCTTCTCTATCGTTTCGCGATCCCCGTTTTTCTTCGTTCGTTTCGCGTAATGACGCCATCGTTATTCATTATCTATTCGATTCCTCGCCTCTCCCGCGACGATGGCACTTTCAAGCCCCATCGCGCATCGCCCTTCAGGAAAAGATAGGTTTTTTGATTCCAGCTGCTGCATTGTTTTGAAAATTATTATTATCAAGCGTAAGAGTATATATGATAGCACAAAAATAATTTTCCTTAAAGTCTCGAAAGTAATATAATTTCGAGATTATATTGCTTTTGGAATCTTATAATATACAAGAGTGCCTTAAAAAACGCCCAAGAATCATATAGCACTATTCTTGTTCAAAAACTAAATCTAAATCTTATGAATTATTTTGCAATTTTCGCAAAAATTTTTTTTTAGTTATCCTATAAATAAAATATTTAAAATTGACGCATAAGACAATTTTAAAAATGTTAAGAGTTTATTTTTAAGATATTTACTAAACATTGAAAAACATCTTAAAATTGTCTTCGTCGATTTACCCGCTTATTCGATTATCTTTAAAAACTAATAAATATTTCGTTAATTGCAAAAATTTCAAAATAGTTATAAATTTTAGATTCAATTTTTGATCAGGAATAGCACTATACAGTTTGTGGACGTAGTTTTAAAATACACTCTGTATACCTTGGATATTATTGATACATATGAAGATTAATTATTTTTACGCCAATTTATTAGATATCTGTGTAATTATACGACGATATAATGAAAATGTAACGTACTTAGAGTTTGTTTTATTTAAAATATAGGAAGTAAAATAATTTTTTTCCGACCGAATTTAATTTAACTTAATTTTAGCGACATTATGGTTTATAAATCCCATTGTCGTAAATTGAAATAAGCTTTATTTAACTGTAACAAAAATTTATTAGGACATATATTAATAATTTTTGTAATCAGAAATATTTAATAAAAGTAATAAATGATTTTATTAATTAAAATATAATTGTAATTAACAAATGTAATATTTCAATTTTAGATGTCAAGAAAAAAAAGTGGCATTTAATTAATTTGTAATAAAAAAAATTATTCCGGTTTCTGATGAGAGAATCATCCTGTTCATAAAAAATATTATAGGAGCTAGATATCGTTGAATCCTCAGTCAGGCTTGGCACGACTGCGGTCATTAACATTCTCGGTAATTTTCCAGGATGGGTTTCTTGCCCATTATCGGTGGCATCGTATGGGAAACCTTGAAGTGATATTTTTCCATCAGTTCGGTCCTCGTTTGCCTCCTCGTTTCAAGTTTAATGTTCTCAGTTTTGTTTGGCGAATTTGCGTCCTTCGCTCTTCGAAGATGTGACGCACGCAACATACACACATTGTTATGTTAAAATGCACATCGCGAAGTTAAAACAACATAGATCTTCGTTGACACAAGGAAAGTACTGACAGTAATTCCCCGTTATCATTATGGTTCAGTTCTTTTCTTCTCTTTTCTTGTTAATAGATCAACAAAAACTGAATAAATAACCGTGTAATGTTCACGCTTATGTTTTATCGCTGCAACGACATTCGATAAGTATGTAATCTCTGAACCGCGAGATATAAATAATATTAACACGATTGCTTTATATATGTATATATGTACATATATATATATTATTCTAATTTATATAAAAAAGCCTGATAAAATTTGAATCATTATCGGATATTAGTACAAGATGTGGGTAACGAAATCTTATATACACTTGATAATAATTAAAATTTGATTAGGCTTCTTTTTATAAATTAAAGTACAAAATGTCAGTGGTTGAAAATTTTTGCACGCTATTGTATATGTATATAGTATTACTGCATGAGTTTATAAAGAATAATCTATTAAAAAATAAGTTTATCAATACGAAAGTGCAGTTAATTGGTTGTCTGCCAAGTAACATGAAATTGCATTATGTAAACAAAAATTTTTAAAACAGCAATTAATAACAATTATTACTTTAACGAAAACCTTTAAACAGATAACAGACCTTTAAAGAGATAACAATCTTCCACGATAAAGACATCGAAAAATTAATTAAAATTCATTCTAAACCTATTATTTTTTTTAAATTTTAGTCTTCGGAATATTGAAATATAAATGTTTAATAATGTTAAAGATTGATAATTACAGCTTATTCTAATTATTTTTAAACTCTTTCTCGATAATAAAATTTATTGTAATTTCTACTTGCTTTATTTACATAGTGAGTAATTTTCATGTCTGTGACAGTCTTTTGTGCAGAATTCATTTTCACAACAAAAGAGTGATAATTTAAAATAACTGCAAAATAATATTTATAATATTATAGTCTGCCTATCAGTTTTTTAAACGAATTATATAGGTATAAGAGTGAATTATTTTTTGTTTCTTATTGATGGAGATTCTTATCGACCATTATACAACTCGCGGAAGCACGAATGTTGATGTGAAGATACTATAAATGCGTGCCTGATTGATGATCAGCATGTAATATCATGATTCACTATCTACCTATACATATCTTAGCATGTGCCAAATCAGAATATCCTTCGTAGCGGACGATGACCCATTAGAGGAAAAAATGTTTTAAATCATTGCAAATAGTGAATAATTCATGATTTTTCATTATGGAAAGCAAAAATTTCAATGTTATAATCAGGACTAGGCATGTATTTAAAATACTTTCATTTAAAACGCAATATTTGCAACACAAAAGTATTTTGTATCTTGTATTTTATATTTTAAATTATTAAGATTGACAATTAATCAATTTTTTATTTGAATTACATAAAAAAACTTTTTATTTTAAATACAATATTTCGATTTTAAATACGAAAAATACGTAATATTTTCATATGATCCATTGAAATACAAAATACAAAATACAGAATACAATTGTCTTACAAATATTATTTTTCAAATAAAAGTATTTCAAATACATGTTCAGACCTAGTTATAATATCGTTATCGTGTGCCACTAACATCTGTCGTGTTTTATCTCGCAGTAGCTCTCGTAACTTTACTACACAAAATATTTCAACAAAGAAATAATAATCGGTTATAATGTTTTTCGATAATCATGTTAATATTGCATAATTATGATATCGTGATTGCTGCTGTAGCAAGATTTTTTTCTAAAAAAATAGTGATAAATAATGCTGATACGAACAAATATGATAAAATAAAATATCAAGTTAAACATAATAGAGAGCGTCTAGGATTCATCAAAGTTTAGATGTTTCAAATAATATAATATTCTTGGTTCATGAATTTAATTTTATATCAAGTGTTCTATATAATACAAACACAATACACATACATATATAAAATTATTATCCCTTAGAAAAGAAGTAAAAGATATAATTTAGCTAAAAATTTAGTCAAAAATTTTATTAAAAATTTTAATTATTTTTAAATAATAATAAATATAGTAAAAAAATATTTAATAAAAAATATAATATTAAACTGTAACAAAAGTACACATATTTTTTGTGACGCTAAAGAAACATATAGATTTTTGGGACTTACTAAAACTTTTGCCAGCAATTTTATTTTCTTTAAAAATTTGTCTAGTTGTTGAATTATATATTTCTAATATGTTGTACAAAGCTATTTGAAAAACGCAAATAAAATAGTATTGATGTATTGCTTCTAAATCTTGTTAGGTAAAGGCCTGTCTTCATAGTTCATTTTTATTTTAAGACCATATTATATTAAGATGCTAATACGGATATGTGATTTACTTATGACGTCTTAAGATTATATTTAAGATGGTATATATAAGAACTAATAATGAATATATTGGCCATAAACATAAATCGGCGTTAAAATTTTTTTCCAGAAAGTACTATTTTTAAAAATTATTTCTAAGGTCATCAAAATCTATAAATTCCAATTACTCATATTATTTTTAGTTAATTATAGGATGACTCACTTCCTCTGCAGATTTCAAACAAAATAAACAACTGTAATCTTTAAATATAGTACGAGTAGGTATCTTTTTTTTATTTTTACTAAGAAATGTTTAAACGCAGTAATATGACTTTCCTTATCCATTTCTCGGAACTAATAATTTTCCTTTATTGCACGTATAAAATTTTTCATGAGATCGAGATCGAAATAATAAGCATCAATGACAAACGTAATACGAAACTATCGTCATTATCATACATATTACACATAAATCTACATAAATCTACAATTTAGTGAACCAACTAATTAAGGATACGTTTCATACTCAGAGCACGATATACTCTCTATTTATAATCTTCTTCATGAATGCATAAATAGAATAACTTTATCATTCAACAGAAAAAAAAAACAGTTTTTATAAATTAATGTCGAGAAAATTAAGTTGACATTAAGCCGCAATGCTGACGTTCTCAACGCTATGAGATCTTTTTCCTCGACACATGAGTATTATGCGGTTTTAAACTGCAAGGTCGGATACGTTCGCAATTTCAAAACCTCGAGGTGAGCATGTAAGATTAGCAGCTGCTCATAATTAGCTTCTGCTTTCATAACGAGTTTAGTACGTCTCGCAATCGCCGCGAGTCTTATCCTTCGAGACTCTTCGTCCCTCTTGCGATGCGGATCATCAAGCAACCTGCGACGCTTTTCAACGTCTGATGACTTTGTTTTGATCTCTTGCGATATCTTATCGTTCTTTTTCTTCCACTTAACTATCCGCAGCTTCGCTTCTTTCAGACTTGCTTGTTCTAATTCCAACAATTCACGAAATTTCTGAAAATAGATTTTAAATTTCTCGAATTACTTGTAAACTTGTTGAGTTTTAATAATAACGTATCGATACTCACATTTCGAAATATTTGCAAATTGACTTGCATCTTTTCGTAATCTCTTTGTAAATTTACACTACAGGGAGAGTTGATCAAAAATTCGAGCACATTTCTCGTAATCTAAAATTACATAAACAATATAGTTCCGACATATTAAATAATTATGTTATGATAGAATTGTGTGAATGGAAAAAACAATTTTGTTGAAATTTGTAAAAATTTAGCTACATATAGTTAAATTTTTAAATACTTTAGCAAAACCGTTCTTTCCATGTAAAAAAATTTTTATATTATTACCATAATAATAATATAATAATAATACACTTTATAAAAAGAGAAATGCTTTCTTGCAAATCTTCATACCTTGAACTCTCGGATATCCTTCAAGTCCCGCTGCAAATCCTCCATTGTCATCTTTGCGCAAACGTGTTGCCATTTATATTGTGATAGGATTTTCTGCAAGTGCATGGATTTATGCATAGCCGCCAGTTTACGTTTCCCGGTTTCAACAATACAATCGTTGACCCGTAAAAGTTCCTCGCACGTAACGAGAATGGCGTTTGCATAGTCAGAGGGACAACCTTGCAGCGGTACCTCGATCTGGCCCATTTTTAAGACAAGTTGAATCTCCATTTCCTGCGCGAATTGTATCAAGGATTTCTCCCTGTCATCTAAATTGACCTTCTTGCATGCCACGGCGTTATCAGCTGACTGCATCGCTTTCTGATAAAACGACAGCGTCTGCTCCGCTTCGGCCATCTCTACCGCGCAACATGTTACCTTCGACATTATCCGATTTTTTTGGCAATGTTACATCTTCTCTTTTTTATAATCAGCTCAAAAAGTTGTTATACATGAAAAAGAAAATAAAAGCAATACACTTCTATTTTATCTCGAAACTTTTATATATTATATCAATAAATCGAAATTAACATTTTTTTATTTTTTATTTTTGGATAACTGCTCAAAATCTTCAATCTAATATAATTATTACTATACATTAATCAAAAAGAAATCGGAATTAGACCTATAAAAATTTGAATATTTACCTAATTTAAATCTGACCTCTATTCTCTTTAAAACAGTTTCCTTTTACGTTTATAGAGTAATCCGCCGTTTCCGCCATGCCAAGCGTTCTCTAGAAATCTTCATCTTTAAATCGTGTTAAGCAGCTTTTATGATTCAGCTTGAATGTTTTTGACTGAAGTTTTCGGTCTTTTTGAGACAAACGTCTTCACGCAACTTAAAATTATTTTGAAGGGAATGGAAGCCAGATTTAAATTATCTAAATATTCAAATTTTTATAGTTCGATTTCTTTTTAATTGACCTTATCATACGCAGAACAATTGTATATATTTTTATAAATAAGTGATCATCTCTCTTTTTTTCTTACCTTTATCTCCATTTCAACCTTTATCCTCCTCAATCTACACATCATTTGCCAATATTCGATGTTAATTTGTGGTGGTAAATTTCGAGGCATTGAATCCAAAGCATCCATGCCTTTGAGAAAATCCAGGCATTCGTGGGGTAAGATGTCTGACTTCTCACTACTTATGACGCATCTTGCTACCTCTGTCAGATATGTGACAGATGTGGTAGTCAGTCGACTGGTCTTGGGCCGCTTCTTGTAGTGCCTGAACAAGTGTTCTACTATCGACTGCTTCACCTCTGCGAATTCACCACGGAACTTGGCCTCCTGACGTTTGTCCGCCTTGCAGAGGTTGTCATATCGAACTTTTAGCTCTGACACAACCATTTCCAGCGAGTTGCATTCCTCGACGAGCCTGCGTGCCTCTTGCATTGCTGGTGTTAACTTCTCGTTAGTGAAACGAGCGATTTTTTCTTTGCCGTTAACCATAGTACGGTGTCTTCGAATCGTACGTAACCTTGTCAGTCTTTCCTGAAGAATTGCGCTTTCAATTTGTATCTTCTTTAATTCCAGATCTTTTAACTTGTCGTTGAATACGGCGATGTCTCTCTGCAAGGCGTCTAAAATATTTTACGTATCTCAATAAAAACATCAGCATGCAGTCTGCAGATTATTTTTAAGACGATTATTCTTTTTTAATAAACACATTTATTTTGAAATGTCTCGACTGACCTTTTGTTTCTACAATATCAGCCTGCAATATAGCTTTATATTTTTCTTGTTCTCTTTGCAGAGCTTGCACTTTGGACTTATATGATGTGATAATTGCAATATCCTCTTCGGTATATTTCGAAGGATTCTTCATAATTAGACAATCCGGCACAGGTATTTCCTTTTTTACCTCGTCTTCCCATCTTAAGAACATTTTTTTTATTTTGAATATTAAATATCAAATTTTGTTAGAAAACATACAAAAGTCTATTTGTATTAATCCTTATGCTTTTCAAATTTCGATCGACTTACTTAAGTTCTAATACACCATCCATCATTTTTTCAAGAGCCACTTTATAAAAATCGCTGATTTTTTTGTCTTTACTTTCATCTTCTCCATCCATTATTTTCAATTCTCCTTGTGACTTTTCAAATACTTCGTGATCTTTTACGGTAATTACGTAGTCAGGTATTTCGTCGACATTCCAGGAAGGAGTCTCGATTGGCTCCAAAACGGAATTTATTTCAAACATCGTCTTCAATTCAGATGCGCAATATTGAAGTCTGTTAATGCGTTCCTTTGCACATTTTAATACGCATTCCTTTGCGCATTTCATTTCTTCGAAGAGCTTGTTAAAATGCATCTGTTTAAAAAAAATTCGATTCATAGAAAATAAAATTTTAACATAATTGTATATATTTATAAATAACTAAAAAAAATAACTTTGATATTACTTTGATATTACTTTGATATATAGGTTTTTATGATGAAGTAATTAAGTATAATTATAAGTATAAATTTTTAGTATTGCGTAGTATAATTAAGTCAAATAATCAAATTTAAGACAACTGTTACTTTTAATTTACGCTCTCGATTTTCAATGATAACATCTTTCTGTAGGATAGCCTCGAGATTGTCACATGGAGTCAATAACTGATGTGTTGAAGTTATGCTTTCCTCAATCCATTTATGCGTTGTGATACCCGATATACACAATTGTTCATCATTATCCGCGAGTGTGTACCATCTTTTAGCTGTTTGATACGTTTTGCTTTCGGCCTTAGTTGTTAAGGATTCTTTATTGGAAATTACTGTAAATTCTCGTTTTGAATCGTTTTCTTTATCTACTGATCTATCGTACACATCATAACTAAAAAAATTATTATCCTTTATAATATTTTAATAATATCTTACATTCGTAAATTTATAATATATAATATTTGCTTCTATAAATTTTTAAATACATTACAATATCAATCAAATTATTACATTATTTAACATATATTATACTAAAAAAATAAAGAAGGTATTTATTACGTTTATTATTAATTAACTAATTAAGAATACGAGAAATAGTTAATAAAAAAATAAAAAGATATTAGATAAAAATACCTGTATAAAAATTCGTCAGTGTCCGAAGAAAGTCTATCCCACCCCTTCATCTTTTGGGTCGATGCGATGAGAGGATAATTTTGAACGATTGTATCACCACCAATTGATCTGAGAGCACATGGTTTAACTTGCAGCGGTTCCCAGAATATTTCACGTAGATTCGATGCCACCTGATCTCGTTGAGCGCAATCCTCTTCAAGCTTTTGACGTAACTTGTCTCGTTCAAGTCGAGCTTCTTCTATTCTCCGCTGTCGAGCCTCGCGATCCAAATCAAAAGCTGAGATCGGCAAACGGGCATTCGGTGGTTCGCTTTCGTTTATATCGAGAAGCTCACGTATCTATTGCAAAACTTATTTTAATTCTAAATTAAAATTATATCTTAAAAAAAAGACATTACTTGCGTTTGAATTTTCTCAAGATCGGCTAAAATAGAAGCCCGTAGAAGTAGAACTTCCTCGTGTTCGGCTTTCAATTTATCGGCGATTATACTATCCAACCAGGATTTTTTTCCTTGATCATATTGTTCGTTTGGATCAGAAGTAAAATCCTCAATCGTTAAATTTATATTCATAGTTTCAGTTTCTGTTAAATTTGTTTTTGTCTCTGGTAAGCTGTCGTACATTTAAATTAATTTATATTTATTTTTATAATGATTTCCTAAATAGAGATTTTAATAATGCATAAGGGACAAATAAAGATAAAATACCGAATTCGATTGGCAACAACATCGCCATTTCTACCGAGGGAAACGATTGTTTCTCCAAATTGCGAAGAAATTGCACTTTTTACGCCACCTTGAGTACGATGGTGTGGCATAAAAATTGCAATCACTTTGTGAAGTTCCATGTTATCTCTAACTATAATTAAGCCATCGTATCCATATGTCACAATTCGAGAATCGGTAACATATATTCCAATGTTTCTCAGCTGATGCATGGATAATAATGCATCTGTGAGGACGATGTCTTGAAAATTATTCTGCATAAAAGAAAATTGATGAATTAATTTTCTTTAAGTAAAAAAAAATTCAGGATAAAAAATTAAAATAACGATTATATATACAATATTTAAAAACTTTGTATACAGCATGAAAGATGTATTTTCACTTCCTTATAGAAATTTAATACTGAAATATATAAGTTATTAATTACTTTGAGTACTAAAAGTATTGTTCTTCAGTTTTCTTAATGTTCAAAATAAGTAATTAATCTTACTTCCCAATTAGCTATTTAAGTTGACTAATATTAAATTGGAAAATATTAAATTTCTGTAAGAGTCTTGATAATTATTTAAATTAATCAATATTTAAGTATGTTGATTTACTCTGCTTTTAAGTAAAGTATTTTTGATAAAAATATAATTTAATTCGCTTGGTACTTCAATTTGTACGTATAATCAAATATTCACCTTTATTTCCATTTTATGTAACTGTTTAGACAAAGAAGGTACACCCAATATGTCCAGAGGCTTACATCCATGATAGAGCGCCTTGAAAGGTCTTGATATATCTATTATGCAAACGGCATGTGTACAGAACTCGATCGAGTTCTTGCAAGTGTACACAATTACCTTGTTACCGCCGATCGAAGCCATAGAAGGAATAGTTGTTATTAGGATCAAGATCTCAAAACAATCGTAACTTTTTTCGTATATCAAAAAATCAGTAATCTACAAAAAAAGCAAAAGAAAACATCGAATTACTTTCTTCAAAAATATATAAACTAACGTATCTCTATCTATCTTACATAATTTATCATATAATAAGTAACATTTTAAACAATATTTTAATATAATTTTATATAATCTTACATATCCATCAATTTCTATAAATCCTAGAACATTTACACGTTGTTGTTTATATCGTTTACCAATAATGAACATTATGCCAGTTTGAGAATTGCTAATTCCCAAAAGTTCGCCATGGTCTGAAAATTTTACTTTATCTAGTGAGTTTCCATAGAGATGGAAGCAATTAAAAATCTTGGGCAATGAAACTTTTATGATATCGATTAGTATGCAATTGCCAGCAGCGCTGCACGACGCAAGCATTGGTAAAGTAGGATGTGAATCTACATGAAGAACTGTAATGGGAAGAAGACACTATATATAATTATGATATAGTATAGTAATCTAACTAATTAAAAAAGTATGTCTAAATATGCTTTAAAAATTAAATGTTTGCTTAGATTTCTTCATGTTGATTTTACCTTCACCGTGATGCTTCAGAGATAATCTCGCTGTCAGTTTACCGGTCAATAACTCGAAAATGCAAAGACGATCTAATCGATCTAACATCGCGACGTGATCTGTACGCTGAGATATAGAAAACAATGCTTTGTATTCAATTTCGTCCGTATAAATAACTTCTACATGAGGAATGTTGTCGTGTTGCGTACAAATCTCAAAAATTTCTCCGTTTTTAGAATGAAGCAAAATCCCATCTTTGAAATAATGTTGTTTTCCTACTTGTATAGAATAGAAAGTCGAAATCGACCAAATGAATTTCCACGCCACATTCCAATCCGCAGACGTCTTCTTGTAAAACTAAAATATTAAATTGTAATACATTGAAAAATAAAAATTAGATTATAATAATACAATATCATACAATAAAAAAATAAATTTGAGCTTTGTGCAAAAATAATAATGTATTTTTAGTGCAGGATTGAGCCTGTATTTGAAATATTTTTATTTGTAAAACAGTATTTGTAAGACAATTGTATTTTGTATTTTGCATTTTAAATACTAAGGTTGACAATGTTTTATTATTTGAATTACGAAATATATAAAACTTACGAACTTCCAATTTGAAATACAAAATAAGCGATACTTTTATAATATATTGTATTCAGCTTCGCTGAAATACAAAATATAAAATACACTTGTATTGCAAAAACTGTATTTTAAATGAAAATATTTTAAATGTATACCCTTAATTCTGTTTTTAGCCTATATTAAATTTTATAATTTTATACAATAATTAAACATTTCATTTATATTAAATATTTATTAATATACACACCGTAATTTCACTATTGGGATTCACAACTATTACGCCGCTTTTATGAGTAACAACAATGGGCTTATTTTTTGGATGTTCGCGTATTTTCGATTTTACCACCGAGTACAACTTATTAGCTTCTATCATCACGAGCCATACATTTCCGAATTCATCCGAGACAAATAAATTTCCTTCTAATGTCCAGGATGAAGACACAATTCTGTGTTCAGGAAGTAGTGCGTTTACATGATGTATACTTACGATTTTGGAGCACGTACGCACCTGATAGATCGAGAGTGTATTATTATCAATTCCAAGTTGCGATATTAAATGTGGAGGATTCGGTGAACAACTGGCAAAGTTAAACAATTTATTAATTTTTTAATCTCGAAAAAAATTAAAGAATCTAGATGCTAGCTCTCAATATGTTAAAAATTGCATTATGGAAAGTTACTGAATACTTACTAAATTTCTTGATTAAGATTGTCTATTTTTGTGTTAAGCATTGCAACGTGTTTGCCGGTTCTCCAGAGCCATACAATCAATTGAAAATCGGGGAAGGTAGTCAAGCTTATGAGATATTCTGTACCAGCAAAAGAACAGGATAAATAACCATTAATTTTGTCAGGTAATATGCACCTGGAGATCCTTTGTAGCATCGGATACATATATATTGATATTTTGGGATTATGTTTTCTCTCAACTACGGAAAACATGGAAACTGTCTAGAAAAATTCAAAATATTGATTTTATTAAAAAAATATTATTTAGCAGTTATTTTTTAAACATTCAATAATCTAAATAAATAGATAGTATAAACAATTGTACGTATTCTATACCGGATGTCCAGCCAAACACGATGCACCATCGCCTCTCTCTTTGTTATCGAAGCGTTCAATTCGTCTCTCTCTCGTATTCAGATCCAAAAAACTCACATAAATGCCAGAAGCCGTTGCTATGACTTCCTTCCCAACAAAAACGAAGTCATGAGATTTTCCGAACTTCATCCACCTGTATAACAATGTAAATCCATTTAAAAAATACACTTTACTTACCAAGCTCGAAAAAATAAAATGTAACCTTGTTTCAATTGTTGAAAAACTCATTTTGCTATATTTTATAATCTGTTGAAATATATAAAAAATTTTTGTTTTTGCACTGTTTCTAAATCTTCTTAATTCTGTGTACGATAAGCAAATCTTGTACGTGCATAAGCATCGTGTTTGGTTGCTGAGAAACCCAGATAGCATATTGATCGGGGGTGGCCATAGAAACTGTGTTTAATAATTCTTTCAAACGTATTCGTAATAAGTCACAGATTTTACACTTTATATAATTAAATATTTATAATTTATAATTTACAAAATTAAATTGTTTATTTTGACAAAAATTATTGATACAAATTTTTTTTGTCAGTGACAAAAATTTATCGTGGAAAAAATTTCGCGTTATTTAAAAATAAAAATAATTTTAGAATAAAGAACAATATAGCATAAAAGAACAAATGTTTTCCTTATTTTTTTATATATTTTTACATGTTTTGGTTGCTAAATGTATGTACCTGATTGTTAAGACTTTCATCAAATACAACATTTTGCATACCTCTCTGGAAGATAATAGAACCACCGAAAGAATGCTATTAAAAAAGTGTGCCACTGGATCAAAGTATTGTGGGAGGTTCGAAAGATGGTAACACCGTTATAGACTGCATCGTACAGCACATAATAATGACCATGCCTTTGACTCCTCCTATTGTCATTTTAAAGCTCTTAACAATTTATAATAAATATTCAAAATAACGTTTTCAGTTATACTTTTATGAAACTCCACTTATTGGAGGTGTTCATTAAAAGTAATTTTAATAATTTCGTATTTTTTTCTTTCTTTTAAAAAATTATTCTAAAAAGAAACATACATGATTATTTATTTATTTTAATACCTATTAATAGTAACATTATAACTTTATTTCAAAATATATAAAATTAGAATTAGCATAGTATTAAAAACAGTTTGATAATAACATAAGGGATTATTAATTATATACATATATAATTTCTATTTAATTATAATTTCTATACTGCGATATATATCATTTAAATAAATATTTTCTTACATAATAAATAAAAGAAATAATACTTAAAACGATTTTCACATATTCCACGGCAGACGGTAACAATCGATGGTGGTGCTGAAAGTATCAAAGGGGCACGATGGAATAGTAACCCAATAACGTGAATCTCGTGCCCCTTCCGAATGCGAACGGCATATATAGGCGAAGCAAACACGATGACTTTTTATTCACGAGCATTGATCGACGTGAGTGCCAGTCAGCAAGAATGTTTTTCGTGAGGTCAACACTCGTTAGAACAGTTCTATAGATTTTTGTGTTTGATGCAGGAATGGATAATTCGCAAGTAAGCAAATTTATGGAGAAGAAAGAAATCCTAGAGTGCAACTGAGAAGCTGAAAGTCCGCGTTATTTTTTGTTGGAAGTGGAAAACTATTTTTAAGTGGAAACAGTCAACGCATGTATATTTATCATTTGTAAGTCTTTATCTTATTCATTATAATAGCTATCGTAAACATATTTTGATATAAAAAGTGATAGAAAAATTATATAATATAATTGATAAACATAAAAATTAAATTTTTAAATATATAAAGCGATAAGATTAATTTCGCGGCATAAACAATTTAAATGTATTTTCTTAAATAAAAAAATAATAAAACAATTTTGTGTGTGTGTGATATATTTCACGGCAAAAGCACAATTTTGATATACTTTACAATAAAAACACAGTGTGGGCACGATAAAATACAATTATTTTTAAAAAGTTTTATTTATTTCTTATATAAACGCATAATCTTTATATAGAAAGCACCCGTGGAAGCCTCAAGAATGTTATTATGTATTTATAAATTTGCCATAATTTAATTTTATGATTATTTTATAAATAAAAAAATATATATTATAATAATAAATTTAAAAAGCAATTCAAATAGCAATACAAGTGATAAATTATATTATAATATCAAATTATACAATAAGAGTCTACTGTAAAGTTATAAAATATAGTTGTTTTATTATTTTTATATACGCGTGAATTAAGGTTATTGTTGAAATGGTTACCCTAAAAAGGGGCGAAGACCGTTATGCGTTTAGTATGCGCAACATTTGCTTGTATTTCGTATTCAAGAGGAATCTTCGACGCTCATTTAGAAGGCGTTTCATGTCGTGCTGCTTGTTTGTACTACTTGCCTATCTCTTCTTTTTTTAATTAAAATTGATTGAAAAGAATTTAGACTCTCTAAGTCTATTCACTGTCGTGTTATCTATTTAGAGTACGTATGAGGAAGATCAGTATTATAAAACTTCTAAAATTGTTTAACATTTACTTTAATATCTTATTAAAGTCTTACTCATGTAGATTAAAAAAAAAATCTATTGTTGTTAAAATTATTAAAACACATAGAATCATCATTGAGATGTCATTAGACGTTTCTATTTGAAAAATTTTTATAATGGTTATAAATACAAATAAATTTTATAATTTATAGAAATTAATTTTATTATATGTCTTTTATTGTAGATATTTCTTCAACATATTATAAAAATGTTACGAAAGCAGCGACTCAGTTGGATTCTAGAAATTTTTTTGCTTTCTCTCACTTTGGTCTCATCCCACGAAACTATGCCCTCGAATTATCAAGATACACCAGATGCATCGACTCTGAAGATAGAAGCCAAAGAATCCGAAGCATCGATAACTTTAGGGAAGGAACTAGTCCTCGGTCCTCCTTTGTCGACCAAACCCTCAATCGTCACTGATTCTAATCATATCGTTTCTACAAAACTTGTTCCTTTATCTCCTACGATTATTAGTCAAATATCTTCTGGAGAATATGCCATCCCTCAAAGGACCATCTCAAAGAATATGGGTCCTCGTGGCTCTTATGTCGATAATCACAAATCTTGGGTTAGCAAAAGTTCGAAAACCACTTGGAAAAGGGACAGTTATCTTCAGGCACTGATGCACTCACATAACAGCGATGACCCTCGAGAAGGAATCGTACAGACGGACTCAAAGACGAAGACAAATAGGAGAGAGTATGTGCAGGGACCTATTTACAAGTCAGAAATAGAGTATGATTCGCCCGATTCGATATACGCGTCGAAAAGTCCGCGAATTACTTATGGTGAGCCCAACGCTTTTTCATCTAGCGATTCTTATCCTCAATCCTTTAAGCTGTCGATGGACTATAATAATCGCTATAGCGTACCACAGAATTCTTATGGTCCACCACAGAATTCGTACGAACCTCCGAATGATGGTCCTTCGCTTTATCCTCAATCTTCTTCGTATGGACCACCCGGAAATTATCTACCACCTCAACAAGGTGAGACAAGAGATTATTGACCATCAAAATTAAATGACTTGATTCACTTAAGTTTACGTTAAAATTATTATTATAATAAATTTAGTACTACATTAAAATTTAATTTTTAATTAATAAAATTAATTCTTCTTCGAAATTTTTATTCTTTATTTTAAATTTTATTAGGATTTGGATTATATTTTCTTTTTGACCACTTGTAATATTTAATTTTTTGTTTTCTTAGGATATGGTCCTTCAATACATACTTCCATTCCACCTCCGGTTTACAATGCACCCTACGCGCTTTCGGATGTGGCTCAAATTTCCCTTCTGCCAAGTATTAATCTAGGATTGCCGTTTGCTCTCAAATTAAATGCATTTACCATCGCAAAAATCATATTAAAATTGGTGATCTTTAAAATGATCGTGAAATTTATTGCAGTAATCTGTTTGCTGCTTTTCATACCTAAACTTGAGATCATCAAGAAAAAAGTTTCCAATAAAGATGACGACGAGGATCGCAAGTTCTCAGCGCGTAAGTTCTCAGATTAAATTTCCGAATTTACAACTTTAATAATAAAATAACTTTTATAATAAAAGTTTTGTAATGAATTTGAAATGAGGTTTTTTAAACAAAAATGTTGTTAATTAAAACTATTATTTTTTTAACTTATTTATTGTACTTCGCTATTTTCATATTTTTTAGCTTATGTCAATATGGAAACACTAAACAATCTCGAAGATGTAGTAAAAAGCTCCATTGAGAAGTACGAGACGCAAAACAATGCTCGTTCAAATTCGACAGAAAAATGCACGACTTTTGCGTGTCGCATTGCCGAGGCATTTACGTTCCACGAATCTTGGCATGATTATTTAAATTTATTTAAGAGTTATGTAGAGGAAGAGAGGCAACTCACAAAACAAAGAGGGCATTGAGAGATTTACATTATCATCGAGTTTCATTATCACGTCATTTTTCCCTGCTTTTGTAATTTTATTTATTTATATGTATATTTATTCATACTTATAAAAATTATTTCATCAAAATACAAAATGCAGTATTTATTCTCCCAATTTTTTATTGCAAAAATAAATTAGAAAATTTTTTATATAAAAGAATCCGTTACAAATTTTTATGAATATAGAGCGCTGTCAAATCTACTTCGTAATCGACGTCAGTTGGAACGACATGATTAGAGAAGATTACAAGAATGATCTTTCCTTTTACAGCACTGTGATATCATGATTATTCGGTGCCACTGTGTACCAAGTAGCAAAGTACATTGGAAAATAAAACTTCAACAAATTTACCTCTTGCTGACCTTATATGTATGTCAAATATAAAGATACATCTGCATAATGTTGAAGGCGCAGTATTTAATATGTTTTTTATCGATGCGAGGGAAAATTATTTTTGAATAATAAATTTATAATGTGAAGTGTGAATAATTCAATTGAAATTGCAGAGTGATGATCGGTTATCTTAATTCATGATAATATAGTATTATGTAAAAATTTAAATTATGTAGAAATTGAGTACACTCTCTATTTTGCATAGACAATAGTATTTTGTAAAAATGTTTAATTAATTAGTTACAATTTGTGTCAATTCTTTAGCGAATACATCGGATATGAAAATGAGGCGCCACATAAAGTAAGATTAACCAGGCATGATACGTCCTCTCTCAATCTCTCTCAGGTGGGGATAGATTTAACCATTACACTCAGTTTATAAACGTAGCATGGTGACACGATATGCCAGTTCTGTCGTGATAGCCATTCGCTGTGCTTAGAACTGCTGATTTTCATCAATTTTCAACCGGACTGTCGATCAGCTAGAACAATGGAGGTAGCAGTTATAGTTGGTACGAAAACTGCAATGATTTTAAGATTAGATATTATAACGCTAAAATTGATTATTCTTGTAATCAACTAACAATAAATGTGTCTTTTGCTAAGTAAATTCAAATATATATAATGATTTTGAGTATTTAATAAATACTCAAATTATTTAATATTTACTAATATTAATATATTAATATTAATATGTTATTTAATATATTAATTATTTAAAAGTCTCATTAAATGCTAGATTGAATTAATAATCTACTTGTGTATGTTAAAAAAATATAGAAAGATTTTATTATTAAAATTTACAATATTTAATGCAGTTTATATTGTTGCTAGTTGATTGCGTATTTGTAGAGATTTTATAAAACCTTTTTTATATATTGACTTTTAATAGAAGCAATAAAATCAGAAAGGAGGTTAGATACATTAACTATAAAAAATTTGAAAAAATTAAATATTATTGCAATTTGTAAGCACTTTTTTTGAAATTTGAAATCTAGTTTGATCTGATCTCAATCGACAATATACCGTAAAATTATGCAAAATTATGCGTTTTATTTTTGATTAATTGCAAATTGCAACTATGATCCTCGCGAGAGAGCAATTGAAATTTTTGAAGAATCTCACAGCAAAAAGGAAATGTCTTTAAATGGGCGTGGGCATAAACGACCTTGAGCGAAGAAACGTCACAATCACCGCAAGGAGCGGACTGATCTCGATTTAAAATAAACCTTGATTTCAATAAAGCTGCAATCATTCAATAGAGCCGCGTATTAAGGCTGTGCAGCATCCCAGCAGAGAGGCTAAGCCATTATCAATAGATTTACGTAATATTATTCTGTCTGTAATTCGCTAATAGAAAGGCTTTCGAAAATTGCATTAATTATTTAAAATTACATATTTGTTCCATTACAGTGATAATCTTTTATAATTAGAGGACATTATCAATATCTTCTTTATCATTATTGTAATTAAGTAAAACTATTCTGTCATTTGTGAAAAAGTTTGATTAGAAATGGAAAATATTGGATTAAAATCGAATTATTTTTAATTTCATATCCTTTTTTCTCTCTCTCTCTTTCTGTCTCTTTTCTTGATTCTTCCTAGCCTTCGCGTTCCTCAGCATGTTTACATTATGCGAGGAAACGTACGCTTTTCCCGACGAGACAAAAGTCGACACCACTATGAAGGATGTAAAGGAACCTAAAGATATCAAAGAAGCTGCGACCGCGTCGAAAGACGTAAAGGACGCTATCAAAGCGGCCAAGGAAGCAAAGAAGAATAAGAAGGATTGCGCGCGAGATTGCGGGACTGATTATGATCCTGTTTGTGCTCACGATCCTGTCGACTCCAGCTTTAAGCCGAGAACTTTTGGAACGCAGTGCGCTCTGGATATTCACAATTGCGAAATGGGCACAAGTAAGCACATATAAATGAAGCAGCATATAAATTCTTGTATTAATCTTATTAATCATTTAGATAATAATTATATTAATTATTTATATATTAACTATATTAATTAAATTAATTACATTAATCATGTTTTACTTTAATCTTAGAATTGACTATGAAGAGCAAAGGAGAGTGTCCTGGATCCGGCGGAGTAAGACTGTCCTAAACAATCACTCGATCTTGGAAAAGCGTTAAGAACCGCGGAGTAAAATACTAACCGTCGAATGAACTATTAGATTATTATCGTAAATTTATTTAGTTTGAGTAAACGAATCTTAACATGTAACAATGTAACTCTAATGATGAGAGAATAGAGATGGTGGTACGCAAGTAAGCTGGATATAAATTCCGCGACAAAATTAGCAACAAAATTGATTACTAAACTAAACGCTATGTACGATTATACAATGTAAAATGTATCTATCTAATAAATATTAATGATGAGCAACAATTGATTTTGATTTTCATAATTACTTCCTTTTCTGCAACGTAGTTGATCCCAGTACATAGTTTCTAATTATGTAAGTTGTGTGTGCAGGTACTTGAATAGAATGTATTCTCGGTACGCAAATTTAAACTTTCTAATCGCGTTTACAATCTGTCCTAACACAAATATGTAGTTAAGAAAATGTATTCTAATTTGATTCTGAAATACTTGAATAATTTCCATATTTGTTTTTTTGTTTTTATTATGTAATCGCGTAAGTATAAAACATTACATGCATTTTAATTTTGAGATGCATCCGTTACAAAAAAAAAAAAATCTTTTATTTAAAAGATTAAAGATTAAACGGAAAAAAACCTTTACCCATTATTATATTTGATATTTTGCTAGAAAGAAAGAATGTTATTATATCTAATTCCTATTTTATTTATTATTAAATAATATATCATGTGTTTATAGTGTACATGCATCGTCGTATTGCGTAATATGTTTCCGTTACTTTCTTGTAACTATAGTATAACGAATGATGTCGACACATTCTAGACAAGATATCGTTACCGATTGATAAATAAATGTCAAAGCTTTATAATTTATTTTCTAGATGGCAAATAATAGAAAACACATTAATTTATAAACTGGAAAAAATTGAATTGTCTTTTTTATTGTACTTGTTCTGATTCGACGTTACGTAACTATCACATTTTCATTAAATTATTTTGTCATAAAATAGTAAAATAAATATTGTAATGTTTAGAAAATAATCATGTATATACTATACATAACAAATAATTAATATTTTTGTAATTTTATGCCGATTAATTATTTTATAAATATTAGAAAATTGATTTGTCAATAGGGTGTATATATGTTGTCACGTGCGTGAAAGGCTATAATTTGTACGCGTAGAGCCATTGTCCGTCAATCTTCATTGTAATAAGTTTACCTTCCAAATCAATGTTCAAGATAATGAGGATGCGGTCGTGTGCAATGAAGGACAACGGTTAGCTTGGAACCGCATCCTCAGTCTGATGCACTTTGTGCCGTCTATGATGTGTTGTTTAGTCCGAACCGTCCGTGACATGATCGACTTATCTTCAAAGATTTACTGTGTAATCATCTTCCTTTCATTGTGCAAGACGAATACGTATTCTTTCGTCTCACAGATGTGCACCGCAAGTATACGGATTTCTACAGGTAATTAAATAAATTAAATATATTTGCCTACAATTATTTTTAACAATTTGAATTAAATCTGAAGAATACGAAAAGCAATCCAGTCAAAATTGTATTAATAATTATTATACTGTATGAAGTTGAAAATATTGGGTCATCAGATGGTGTTGATGGTCAACACATCTGAGTGACAAAAAACCGCGGATACTTTTTAGATGACCCAATATTAGATGGAGATTATAGAAATCATTTATGAAAATGCATATCTTTTTTTGTCTAAAATTTCAAAAACTTTTTAATCTTAAAAATCCTAAAAAAAGGTATATATTATATTTCGAAAGATAGATTTTCTCGCTTAAAAAGAATAGAAAAATAATATTTTTCGAAACTATTATACTTTTTTTATATATCTCTTTTCATATTTTCGATACAATTTCCAAAATGCGCAATCGCGAAACTTGAGATAAAACATCTTATATGAGCGTAGATACGGAATATTCATCAACGCCGGCTCTCTCGGAGGAATCAATGTCGATTTTTGAGGAGATGAAGAATCGTCTGTCCAGTTTCGAACGTAGATTGCGAGCGGTCGAGTATCCCGGTAAAAATCGTGAGATTTATGTACAACGGAGACACGAAAGGACACTCATGCTTTTGCAGTTTGGCGGATCAGCCTGAAAGAGGAGGACTGGGAAATCTGTGCTGAAGGACCGTGCAAATGCGTACCGGAAATGAAATCGGTGTCCTGTTGGAGATACAATTTGTTGGATCTTCCTCCGACGCAATTGGTCCCTGCCGATGTGTTAAGGCTGTAAGGAATTTAAAAAATAATATCGTCATGTTTGTTGAATAGATACATAATGATGGATCTCTTTTAAAATCGAGTTAAACCCTAAAGATAGAAATGCTTTATATAGTTTAAATAAAATTATATAATAATAATATAATAATATATATAATAATATTATATTATGTATATTTCTCTCATATAATATATGTATAATATATTATACATATATTATATATGTATTATATGTTTCATATATATATATATATATATATATATATATATATGTTTCACGAATAAAAATATTACTTGTTTGGCCTTTTTAGGGACCTTGGAAGTAATCGGCTCAGCGCTCTGCACAGAGACACATTTAAGAATATGACGCAATTGCACCATCTGTGAGTTGTATAACAATCGAGAGATACATAATATACTAATGAAATTGTGAATTACAGAGATCTAAGCAGTAATTTAATAGAGCATTTGGCACCAAGCCTGTTCCTGCCATTGCACGGTATCGCAAATGTCAGATTGAGTAATAACCTCTTGAAAGAAATGCAACGCAATCAATTCTATGAACTAAGAAATCTCCGAATACTGTACGTCGGATACTTAATTACTATTAATTAAGAAAGAAATACAAGAACTAACTCAAGATCGTATCAATATATTTTCATAGAAATTTTATATAATTTTTTAATAATTGTTTCGAAAAAATTAGCTAAAAAGTTAAAAAAATATTTAAATGTTTAACGTATAAAAGTATATTTTGCATATATTTCTATAATTATATTAAAATTCATTATATTTAATACATCTTGCAAAAAAAATATTAAATGTGCTGTACTAATATTTATTTTTTCTTTGAGTGCAATTTCTTGTCTTTTTATCAACTTACTAAAAATTTAATACAAATTTTTTATTCTATTTAGCGATTTGTCATCAAATAAACTTCGTACTTTGCCAGAAAATCTTTTTTTGAGCAATGGTCACTTGGTTTTGCTGGATCTCTCCTCCAATCGCATTTCATTGTTACCTCCTGGTGCATTTCACGGCCTTGGGAATCTTGATGAATTATTGCTGGGTGAAAACCGATTAACTGGATTACCTGTTTCAATTTTCCGGGACACTATTAATCTCAAACGCCTTGCACTTGAGGAAAATCGTTTAAAAGAGCTGCCTAACGGTATATTCAAAGATTTGACGTCTCTCAAAGAATTGAATATGCGGAACAATCGACTAACGGAATTGCCCAAGGGATTATTATTAACTCTGGCACAATTAGAAACTTTAGAAATATCAAGCAATAGAATATCTTGTGTAAATATTGTTTATATTTTATAAATTTCAATTTTATTTTAAAGAATTAAAATGTTATAAAAAGTATTTATAATATATTTATGCAACATATTATAAAGTTTTAGAAGATCATTTCTCTTTGAGAATGAACAATTTGAATTTTTGCTATAGATTGATGCAAAAGCATTACACGGTATGTCAGCACTTCGAGAACTTCGAATAGGACATAATCATATAAAATATTTGCCACCTGGATTATTTAATAATTCTATGTCTTTAAAACGTCTTATTCTCTATGGCAATCGCATAGAAATTCTAGTAAGAGGCGTTTTTCGCGGCTTGTTCAATCTTACTTCTCTTTTTTTGCAATCCAATCGACTAAGGATACTACAATCAGGAGTTTTTGAAGACACGCCAAATTTACGGAAATTGTGAGTCAACATTAAGAATTCTGTATACTTAATTGTAATGTTACTTACTTTAAAATTAATATTATTTAACATCAAAATTTTTTATGTATTAATTTTTTACTTATATATTTATATCATGACAAGATTTTTTTTAAATATACAAATGAAATTTCAATTTATATATTTGTTTTATAAATCTGTTTATTGTGATTGTTAGATTAGAAATCTATTTTTGCTTATTGCAAATAAAAAAACAATATTCTTTTCTCTTCTCTCTCTCTCTGTTCTTTATCACGCAATATCGTAATTTTTAGACAACTGGAATCAAATGACCTCTCCTTCTTGCCAGCCGGTAGTATGGACGCCATATTCACAATTCAGCAAGTACGTCTGAGTCAGAATCCCTGGCATTGTGATTGTCGTGCCTCTTATGTTGCTTCTTGGCTGCGCAAAAGATTCGCCAGTTTTGCGAATCTGACCAATCCGTTGCAGATACAGCGGGTTTTAATTATGACAGGTAATTGGAGTATCTGGGAATTTGGAGCTGGTGCAACATGCAGGGGGCCAGGTATACTAGGCGGCCAGTCATTGCTGCGTTTGACTTTTCATGAACTCTGCGAAGGTCAGTGGGCCTCCATGAAAGGTATCATTCCACGCTTACCTCTCGACGTTATAGCATCGTCTATTACGCCGCAAGTAGTCAGGAAAGACACGATTTTGGTACGAATTACATTAGATTAAATAGAATTAGATTAAATATTTCAGATATTAGTTTTTATTTTCCAATGACACAATAAGCCTACAACATGACAGATATAGAAGTTTATATAAAAATATTAAATTAAATTTGATGCAGTGAAACAAGATAATGATGATTTTTATTTCTTCTCTAGTTAAATTATTTATTATTTTTTGCTTATGTTATTACAGGTGTGAAAGACGTGAAGCTCAAACCTCTGAATTTTCTACAGAGAATGGAATATTGCACAATACATAGAAAATTGATGATAATTAATGTGCCTTTTAAAATTTTTTTTTAAATTATGTTTAATTACTTTTTGTTTTATTTTGATTTATATGAGAAATGTAGTGAAATATACCTAGGTTTCTTGCAATTACAAGCTACGTTTGTGTGATAATCCAACAAATAACACTTAATGATAATATAACATAAAATAAGATATAATCAGAATTTCATATAAAAATGAATTTTCAAAAAAATATATTTACTTATATACAGGGTGTTCGATAATTGTTCTGACGGAGTTCGTGGATATGTAGAGCGGATTAAACTGAGACTGAAAGTCCTCTACCATTTTATAATTTTCGCAATAATTAACATTAAGATAGTAATTGCTAAAAATTGTCGAAAATTGATCTTCAATAATTTTTTACTCAAATACTATCAACTTTATAGAAAAACTGCAAGACATGAAAATTGTTTATTTTTTTTTATAGAACTCTGCGAATTTTTTCAGAATTTTTATCAATTTTTTAGTACTGCATTTTTTCATTTTCAACATGAGAAAATATAGTATTAAAAAATTCTAAAAAAATTCTAAAAAAAATTTTAGAGCTCTATGAGAAGAAAATAAACAATTTTTGTCTCTTGCAATTTTTCTGTAAAGGTGATAGTATTTGAATAAAAAATTATTGAAACCAATTTTTGGCAATTTTTAGTAATTAATATCTTGTTAATATCTTGTTATCTATTATAAAAATGTCCATTAGAACAATTATCAGACACCTTGTATAATTGCTCGTTTTCAAAATCTGTTTATATATTAAACGATTTCATTGACTTGTAATTAGATGGAATTTAAAACGTAATAAATTGTATTTATCAAAAAATGAAAGCTACATTATATTAAGTTAAATAAAAAAAATTAAGATCAATATAATCTTACACAATTCTTTCTTTATAAAAATTACTCACGACTTTTATTCGGCGTTTATTTATTGAATAAGATTGATATGCAAATACAAATTACAAATATTATCAATGTAAAAAGATTATCAATTAATAATTATTTTATTATAATAAAATATAACTTTGCTTTAAATATTTTATATGTTAATAGCACATCAATATCTCGCGAACAGATAAACTGCAACTTAAGAATGACGGATCCTTACAGATAAATTTTTATATATATTACAATAATTATTATATAATTAAAAAGCATAAAGTATAACATTGTTATAACGCAGTCATACAATGAGAATTACCGGCCGCATTATAATAATAATTCAAATATACACACATAAACACAAACACAACATTTAGAATAACTCGAAATGGAAGGGATCCAACGAGAGAGTCGAACTTATCGTTAATTTTATTATATTATACTCTTCGTAATGGCAGCATCAAATGTTATCGAGCTATTGGAGAAGCTTATAAAGATCTTCAAAGAGGAACAAGTGTTTGATCAAACTGGTGATCGTCCTGTCATGCAATTCCTTCATCCCAAAGCTTTGCAGGTAAATAATAATTTAATCTTTTATGTTAATAGTCAACTTGAAATGTGTGTGTGTGTGTGTGTGTGTGTATTAATCTGCTTTCGTTTGAATTACTCATTGCTTTTTTTTACTTTTCAATATTATACTATTACGGCAATATTTTTATCTGTAATACTTGAAAATTATACTTTATTTTATAATATAATTTTGTGCATTACATTATATTTCTATCTACTATCTTACAATTGGTCTTACAATTTAATTATAATATATATTTTTCAAATAAGTATAAATGCAAAATAAGTCATCTATTTAATTTATCCATGCGAAATATATGTGAATAATTGATAAAGAAATTATTATAAAATTGATATATTAAACAACGTTTAAAATAAAGTTAACAATAATATTTATATAGTTTGTTATCTTTTATTACTGTGACTTCACTAACATTGAAAGGACGATATATTAACTCGACACGAATTCGACACTTTTGGTCGTACTTACAATAGTGATAACATCATAATAATGGCTGATTAGAATAAGAGCATTTTTTACAATAATAATACGGTTTATTGGGACCGTACAATACGAATATACAACAAGCAAGAAACGAAGCATGTACCAATCAAAGCTGGATCTTAATATTTAAATAATTACATGTGAATTTATATATCATTTCTAGATCTAACTAAAATCTTTTATCACCACGAATTTCTCATCCAACATTTATTTTTATATTATTTTTGTTCAGAAGGAGATATCATTTTCTTTGGACAATGAGCCAGCAAGCGATGAGCAAATCGAAGACACAATACGACAAGTTATACGACGATCTATAAAAACGTTCAGTCCGGATTTTCATAATAAATTTTATAGAGGCCTTGACGAGTATGGATTAATTGGCTCCTATTTAACAGAAATATTGAACACTAGCATGTAAATGTAGTTCCAATTAGTCAAACAATTAAGAATACTAGTAGATATACGACAGTGTTTATATTGTAGACTTAAGTAATGTTTTAACATGCTAATTAATCCTCTGATTGATTTATGACATCTTAAGACTGTCTCAAACAGAAGAATCGATTATAAACGGCTGCAGTATCTATTTTGATCGAGAAATGTAATGCTTCGTACTTTTTTTTTCAAAGAAATGTGTGATTATTAATCAATGCTATCAATGTTATCATTTCTTACAGATAATACTGCTTACAGATAATAATTTACAATTAAAAAGATGACTTTATGATCTCAATTAATGCGTATTAAAGATTTTAAAATAGGAAAAAAAAAGTTTGGTTCTTTTTAAAATAAAAATCGTATTTTACAATGGTTTCGGAAATAACTTAAAGAATTTGTCTTTTTGAGATTTCAGGCGGAATAATAGATAAATGATATCAAAAAAAATCATGACTAATATCGTAAAGTAACTTTTAATATAATTGCTTTAGAGCTACTTTTGATGCCATTTTGATATTACAATTTATTTTTATTCTGCTTGAGCTCAAGTGAATTACAAATTAAGTAATAGTTAAATTGTAATTCACATTTATAATTCTTGATTTTTCTTATTATTAGAGATATTTACGAAAACGCTCCTGTATTTACGGTGATAGAAGAGGTTTTAATACAAGCGTCATCGAAATTGATGGGCTATCCATTTCGCAGCGATGGTATAATGACGCCGAATGCTACTGTATCGATCATGTATGCAATGATGGCCGCTAAACAAGCATCTCTCTCAAATATTAAACAGGGCTTACATAAACATATTTCATTAGCTTGTATTACCAGTGAATGTGGCTATCTTTCCATTATGACAGCGGCTCATTGGTTGGGCTTTGGTACCCAACACGTTTACACGGTATTATTATTGCTTGTCAAGGAATTATTTATCAAAATAGAACTTCTGTCTCTTTTAAATTTATTTACTGTTTAGAATAAAATTTTGAATTTTAAAATTTTTATCTGTATTTATCTTCTGAATTGATTTGATTTAGTTCAGATGCTATTTCAGTCACAAATTTACTTCATTAGTTTTTTCTATCAATAATTTTGAATATTTTGATTAAAATTATTTATATATTATTAATTAAGTAATGTAAAGTTAGCTTTTGAGTTATAGATTTATTTTACCTTAGCTGGAACAAATGTTTGTCAAAAAATATGTAGGTGATATCCACATATTTATTACATTAATTTTTCTTCTTAAATACTGAAAAAAAATCTTTCGGTCTTTAAAGTGATACTAGCGTCATCTGTTTTACTGATTGAACGCAATAATTTTTGTAAAGAATTTTTGTATATATATTTTTTGTATGTTACTTTTATAGATTTGAAAATCCTTTTTTTTAATAGTCTGACGAGTGTAGTTTATACTAAAAAAAAAATTTTGAAATCGAGATCTTTTTTATCATTTTTTATAATTTAATATATGTAAGAGCTGTGAAAATTTGCTTGATATCAAAACTTTACAATTCTGTTTTTACGAAATTGGAGTCTTCAGACTAATAGCTAACACGAAAAAACAATGCCGAATTCTTAGAATTGGACACTTAATTCGATACAAAAATTCTTTACGAAAATTTATACATGTACATGTGCTGCGTGCGATATTGATCCATACAGACCTCAAAAAAAGGGACGTCTTAAAGATGCCCAAAGAATATTATTATGTCCTTTGAATGTTCTAAAGACCCAGGATATCTCTCCGATAAAGTGTGCTGTATGGGGATGTAATAGTAGGTAATGATGTGTTAATATATGTGCGTAAATTACATTTCATCGATAAAATATAGCATTAATCCTATTAAAGTTCAGCAGTCTCGCTGATATTCTCTTAAACTCGATTAAATTAAATTTAATTAGAGTTGACAATTGCATTTCCTTTTGTTACAGGTAAAAACGGATAAGTTTGGTCGCATGGACATACGTAATCTGAAAAAAGTTTTAAAGCAAACGTCTGAAGAAATGGGGTCAATACCATTTTTTATAAACGTCTCTGCCGGCACTCCCGTATTCGGAGCTATCGATCCGTTGCGGAAAATAATCAAAATTTGCAAGGAATGGGACATATGGATACACGTAGATGTTCGTATGCAGTATAAAAGATATTAGAATTAAAGGGAAACATATGAATAAAAAATTGTTTGCAGGCTCGCGATTGTGGTTCTTTGATGTTCTCCAAGCTATTCCGACGTAGATTACAAGGCATTGAACGGTAGTTATGTATTATTTGTAGTTATTCTTGGAGAAAGAAACTACTGTTCTGTAATTCAATGTCGATGTAACAATTATTCATAATATAATCAATCGAATTATAAATGATTTGTACATCGATAATTGTACTAGATAATTGTTTTACGCGATTTATTCGAAATAAATGAAATCTGTTTAATAAAATGTTGAACAATGTTTACTAGTTAAGTAGTCAAAGGATTTTTTTTTCCTTTAGCAGTATTTGTATTTAAAATTCCTTGGAAAGTAATCATCAGTTATCTTCTCTTTGTTCCGAATGATGTAGTTCGAGTTCGATATCTTGGAATCCGCATAATATGCTCGGTGCACCATACCATTGTAATATGATCTTGATGCAAAGTCAATTCGAACGTAGTACACATTCTTATTTACGAACAGTAATTAACGAAGAAAGACAGTATACATTGATGTACCACTCAAACACGAATTTTAAGAGTTTACAAAGCAGTAGAAAGGTAATTAAAGTCACAATCTATTTGATAAGTATACAAAATATCTAGGGATGGAAAAATTACTTTTTAAAAGTAGCTTATTACCATTATTGTTATTTAAAAAAATAACAATTGGGTACTTTTTCCGTCATTTTAATGCTAAAACAAGAGCAAATTGAATAAATAATTTACTTTCGTAATATTTTTAAATAATATTAAAATATTAATGAAAACAATTTTTTATCTTAAATTCGCAAAACAACAAAAAGTTTAAGTTAAAGTTATTTAAAATCTGTGCAACAATAATGCTCTAAGATTGGTAATTTTTGTGATATCTTAAAACTCTATATCTCTTGTAACTTGTGTTCTAATTAAATTTTTTAATCGTAATTAGTATTTAGAGATAAAAAGAATTGCTCATTCGCAAATCTAGTCAACAATATGATAGAATATTTAGAAAAAAAATATAAGAGTAAAAAATTTAACAGAGATTAAAATAATAAGTAACGCTATCTTTTTTTGACAAATATTCAAGTAATAAATGACTTCTATTTTTTTTAGTAAAATATATCGATTATTATTATTAGAATAATTTATATTAAAATTATAGATTCAAAATGATAAAAGGATGAAATAAGAAAGTAAATTGTAAATAACTTTTTTACTTCTTTACATATTTCATGAAAATTTATTGTTGTAAAGATTGTGGGTAACGATAACGGCATTACAAATAATGCGTTAATTCCCATTCCTACAAATACTATATTTCCAAAACAATTTAAGACTTTTTACAAAAGAAATAAAAAGACATCTAAAAGGCACATAATAGATACATAGATTTTTTTAAAAGATTAAACACAATGATTAAACAATTAAGATTTTATTCAATTTTTATGACTAAGAAATAATTATATTCTTATTCTAACATTTAATAATACAATAAAATGTCTCAAGGCCGACGCAATGAAATTTTGGTTAATGTGGAAAGCTCGCGGCATGAGTGGTTTACAACAATTGGTGGAAGAAGCCATGTGGTGTGCAAAATACTTACTGATAAAAATTAATAAGACCGATGGCTTTCGTTCGGTACTGGAACAATACGATAGTACCACTATTTGCTTTTGGTAAGAAATCTTATATATATTTCCGCAAATTTCGTAATTTTATCGTTGGATTCTTTTAGGTACATACCTCCGAGCATGCGTCATGCGAAAGAGACTCCATTTTGGTGGAAGAAAATATACATTGTCACAGCAGTAATACAAAAACGTTTGATTTTGAATGGATCTCTCATAATCGATTATGCGTCCTTACCGCAATCGAATCTGGGCAATTTCTTTCGCGTAATGGTGAAATGTTATCCGTTACCCACACGAATGTCTATGGATTATATTCTTAATCAAATAGAAAAGGCCGGAGCTGACTTGTAAATGAAACATGCCCAGGAAAAAAATTTTATATATAATATTTATAAATGGATTATACATATATATATGTATATATATAAAATTATATATATTTATATGTAATTATATAAAATTATATATATTTATATATAAAATTATATATATTTATTTATATATATAAAATATTTTTTTCCAAGTG